ATATATATATATATATATATATATATATATATATATATATGTGTGTGTGTGTGTGAGTATAAGGCATATATATAATCACTATACTAAACTGATATATTTCCTCCCTCCCTCCTTCCTTCCTTCCCTTAGAGAAAGTACTATGTATATCACACATTGTTTCATATAAAGTTTTATTGATGAAATTTTAATTTCAATACAGTATCATCCAAGCCTATTTCCTTAGAAGTAGGTCCCATGGTTCCTGAGAAGTACTAACTTCAATAACTGTCATGATGAAAAATTGTATGGGTGTTGAAGTCCAACTTATCTGGAATTACTAGACTGAGGAAGGACTCAATGTGTGGGCATGCAGAAGTGTAATTTATTTCTCTTTCCAATCTGCAGTTGATTCTCATATTTTTCAGTCTGTAGAACATTAAATAACAGAAATGACAGAAATTAAAAACAGTTCTGTTGTTGGGAGGAAAAAGGATTGTAATTATATTGGTGGCAGGCTGGGGACAACAGCTGCAATGGCCAGATTCCCTCCCACCACCCACCCACCCACCACCCACCACAACTTACAAACATGCTTGCTCTCAAAAAAGAATAGCGAAAAACACAAATTTCAATTATCTTCGCTGGATGCTTGTTGACAAAAAACACCATTCTGGGAGTTACAGCACCCTCTGTTGGACAATATCATAAGAACTCTGCTGATGAGATACTAATTTGCAATTAATGTAACCAGTGATTTGCCTTAGCTGGCCATATTATCCCCCCACCCTTAGCAAGTGATATTCAAAGAAATGGATAGCCTCTGACTTGAGGATGTGTTAAACCAAGAGTCTTCAAACTTGGCAAGTTTAAGACTTGGGGGCTTCAACTCCCAGAATTCCTGAGCTAACATGACTGGAAGAGGAATTCTGGGAGTTGAAGTCCACAAGTCTTAAACTTGCCAAGTTTGGAGGCCTCTGTGTTAAACAATTGCTCAACAATCAGTGGTGTACAGTAGAGATCTTGACGGTTTTCAGTATTTTGTTAAAGTAAACAGCCAATTGGTCATCAATTAGATTTGACTTAGTTTCATTTCCTTTCTTTCTTCTTTCCTGCCCTAATTTTTTTCTCCAATGTTCTAGTTCCTTTCCTGCACATTGCATAATAATGCCTAATAATGCCCAACCACAACAACAACAGCCTTGAAAGATGGCTGGGTGACTTTGGACTAATCCCTTTCTCTCAGCCCAAGTCACCACAGAGTTGTTGTGGAGAAAATAGGAGGAAGAAGGAATAACAGATTAACAGAGTTGGAAGGGACCTCAGAGATCTTCTAGTCCAACCCCCTGCTCAGGCAGGAAACCTATACATTTCAGACAAATGGTTGTCCAATTTCTTCTTAAAAACTTCCAGTGTTGGAAAATTCACAATGTCTGGAGTCAAGTTGTTCCATTGACTGATTGTTCTGTCAGGAAATATCTCCTTAGTTCTAGGTTGCTTCTCTCCTTGATTAGTTTCCATCCGTTGCTTCTTCTCCTGCCTTCAGGTGCTTTGGAGAATAGCTTGGCTCCCTCTTCTTTGTGGCAGTCCCTTAGTGACTTAATGTAAGGTAGGGCTAACACAGCTGGACTGCCAAGCTATAAAGCAGTGTTTCTCAACCTTGATGACTTTTAAGATAGATGGACTTCAACTCCCAGAATCTCTAGTCACTATGATTTAGGATAGGGGTCGGCAACATTTTGGACCACCTCAGGGACCACCAAACTCATAATTTTAGATCCCAGGGACCATTAACTGGTTCTGTGGGCGTGGCCTAATTTGTGGGTGTGGCTTGGTGGTCATGTGACTGGCTGGGCATGGTGTGTGTGTAAATATTATAAATATATAAATGTTGAATTTTTTTATTAAAAAGGAGCAACTTTTATCCAAAATCAGGCAAAGCAGGCAGATTGAGTTGCTCACAGAATTATTCAGTGATCTATCTATCTGCCATCAGCTAGCTCAGTCTCTCAAATTTGCTTGCCTTGCGTCTGCACTGAATTTACTTGCAAGCAAACCTTCAGTCAGTCCTAAGGGAGGTTCGGCTGTGCTTACCTAGAAAGCAAGATATCCAACATTTCCTGCTTCCTGGCTAATCTAAATCTCCTGGCACAGCAGAACAGATGATGGTCGGAAAAAGGAAAAATAGCAATTTAGCAGGCAAGTTTACCGGGTAAGGAGTGAGTGGACAGGGAGGGTTCCCACGGGCCATGTGGGAGGTGCAGCCTTGTTTCTGCGCAGCCTGGGTTGCTTTGTAGGGGTGAGATTTCTCTGTGGCCCACCAAAATTTTCTCATGGCCTACCAGTAGGCCACGGCCCAGCAGTTGGCGACCACTGATCTAGGATAACTTATTCTATATTTTTGTTAGTCTCCATCCATTGCTTCTTCTCCTGCCTTCAGGTGCCTTGGATAAGAGGTTGATAAGCTCTTCTTTGTAGCAGCAGACCTTCAGATATTGGAAGACTGTCAACCCTAGTCCTTCTTTTTCTTAAACTAGACATATTCACTTTCAGCAACCATTCTTTATATCTTTCAGCCTTCTAGGTAATAGCCATCATGTAGAGTTGTACAGGTAGCCCTCAACTTACAGTAGTTCATTTAATGACTGTTCAAAGTTACAATGGCACTGAAAAAGTGACTTATGACCATTTTTCACAGTTACAACTATTGCAACATTCCCATGGTCATGTGATCAAAATTCGGACACTTGGCAACTGATTCATATTTGTAGCGTCTGGGAGTCATGGGATCTCCTTTTATGATCTTCTTACAAGCAAAGTCAATGGAGAAGCCAGATTCACTTAACAACCATGGTACTAATTTAATAACTGCAGTGTTTTACTTTACAACTGTGGCAAAAAAGGTTGTAAAATGGGGCAATATTCACTTAACAAATGTTTCGCTTCCAAACAGAAATGTTGGGTTATAAGTCAAGGACTGCCTGTACTCAGAAGCTTACTTGTAACTAATTCAACTGACAAACCAGAGGTAATACACAGCCATAGTAAGGTCTAACCATCACTCCTCATACTGTTGCATTCTGGACCAGTTGTTGCTTCCGTGGGGTATTCAGGGACAGCCCTATGAGAAGTGTGTTACAGTAGCCCACTTGTGAAGTGACCAGGGCATGAGGGGGAACTCAGAAGGAAGGCTTTTTGGTCCAGTGACAGTCAGTATGTTGGTGCACAAACTGGATGTGTGCAATGTTTTCTAGGCCACAGTTGCCACCTCCTCCTTTAGCAGAAGCTATGGGTGAGTTAAGATCTCACATAAAGCGCCAAGATTTCAGGATCCCCCAAGTGCTTTTGATCTAGCCTAGTATCAAGTATCTGGGGTAGACCAAACTAATAAACCTATCTCCCTTCCAAGTCCAAGCAAGCTGAAAAATAATGATAATTCATTTTGGAAGAGGGCTGATGGTAATGTCCTCCACCTTGAGATTATGGTGCAACTGAGCCAAGAACCAGGTCTATCCTGTGTATTTGCATCAAGTCCTTTGCACCCATGAACTTCTGAGCTGTGTCAAGCTCCAGCCAGCTGGGAGAAGATTGAAGTCCCCATGAAAGATCAGAGACTCTGCCAACCTGCTGATTAAATCCACAAATCTGGGGCCTGGAATTTTAGGCTTCATTTTTTTAGCATTGTAAAAAAGTGATCTGGCACTTTTAACACAGCATTCTAGGCCTTAAAAAAAAAAAAAAACTTCAGGATAAAATTTTTTTTTCATCTTCTTAGCCAAGGCCGTTTCTTTTGGTATGTGAGAACTTGTCTTTTCAGCACTAAAACAATAGAGAACTTATTCTGAAAGTCCTTGAATGCGCTCCCAAATTTAAAGAAAGATACAAACCCAGCTGGGAAAGAGTAGCAAAACTAATAAATTTGCCACTTGTGGAATGTTATTTAGAATTACTTGTTTTTCACTGCTCATTTCAATGTTTTTATTGTTTGATCTCTTGCTTTCTGACATATCACATATACCAAATGTATATATCATTTGTTTAAAAAGACTTAAACCGCCCCCCCTTAATGTTTTTTGCTTTGCCTGAATTACCTGGAGTCAAATTGAGGTGGGGGGGGGACAAAAGAAGCCCCTTTGCAAAAGTAAAAGTCTCTTTCTCTCAAATTCAGAGATCAAATTCTTATCAGCTCCACTCAATGCCAGTCTGGTAATCCACAAAGCCAGCTGCTCCCTAGAGTCCAGTTTCCATGGTTATCTGAAAAGCAGACACTATGGAAACCCCAGTGACAGCTGCCACTTGTGTATCCAGCACAAGCTACCAGCATTATGTCCCCTGTTAAATATTTAAAATTTGGCACCCCAATGCTATAATCAGTCCTAAGCATCTCATTATCAGGTTCCTTATCCACATGTACAGCACCGAAGATATAATTTTGAGAAAATAAATATACAACAATCTTGTAATGTGGTACACTGCTCTCCTTCCCTGACTGCAGGTTGCTGAAGGAGTCAGTAACAGGGTTCATGATGGTACTAAGACATAAGGTTGCTGGTAAACAAGGCTTTGTTGATCAGCGTATTGTCTAAATTAATCCAGCCTGTTATTTTCTTTTGCTCTAGGCAAGATCAATGATTCTCAACCTCAGCCACTTTAAGCTACGTGGACTTTACATCCCAGAATTGCTCTAGATTTACATCCTATCTTTCTTTATTCTTAATGGGTGGTAGCATCTAACCAACTCTGGTTGCTCTTGAAAAGCTAAACTGACATGGTCAGTCTCTGAAGGGGAGATCACTTGGTCATGGCAAACATGAACTTATGTATCAGGACAAAAATCTTGGAGACAGGCAAAGTTGGGGTAAGTAGAGTCTCCAGGGCTTGCCAGGCTCCAGGGGATCACTGGATGACAGCAAAGGAGGCAGAAAAATGCCAATTATTGCACCTCAGATCTGGCAGCTTAGAATAATAGCATTGCACTTTTAGATATTGTAAGATTTCCACCCTAACCACCCAATAAATCTTGCTTCTTTTACAAATGTTCTCAGATTCACAAATTATCAGAGTTGGAAGGGACCTTGTAGGCCATCTAGTCCAACCCTCCGCCCAAGCAGGAGACCCTACACCATTCCTGAGAGATGGCAGTCCAATCTCTTCTTGAAAGTCTCAAGTGATGAAGCTCCCATAACTTCCAAAGGCAACTTCTGTTCCTGAAAATTTCTGTTCTTGAAATTTCTAGATTGAATCTCTCTCCTTGATCAATTTCTGTCCATTGTTCCTTGTCTGGCCTTCAGGTGCCTTGGAAAATAGCTTGACCCCTTCCTCTGTGTAGCAACCCCTCAAATATTGGAAGACTGCTATCATGCCTCCCCTGGTCCTTCTCTTCACTAGACTAGCCATACCCAGTTCCTGCAACCGTTCTTCATATCGTTCTGAGAGAGAGAGAGAAAATATAGACTATTAGAGTTGGAAGGTACATGGGAGGTCATATAGTCCAATCCCCTGCAAGAACAGGAGACACTATACTATGCAGAGATGGAGAACTATGGCCCTTTTATGACTTGTGGACTTCAACTCCCAGAATTCCTGAGCCAACATGGCTCAGCATGGCTAGCTCAGGAATTCTGGGAGTTGAAATCCACAAGTCATAAAGGGGCCATAATTTCCCTACTCCTGCACTATACCATTTCAGACAAATTATTGTCCGGTCTCTTCTTGCAAGCCTCTATTGATGGGGCGTCAGATTTCATCTTCAGAAACGAGAAACTCACAATACCCCCCACTCCCCCCCCCCAAAGCTGCAACGCTCTTCTACATTTTCATTACTCTAAGAAGCGCCTTGCTTCTGGAGGCGTGGTTGAGGCCTAGGCGTTGCCGTGGTAACCCGGGCAACGACTGTGAGGTAGGCCGCGGGCGAGCGGGGTGGGCGGGGCTTAGAGGGAAGAGCGCTTTGGCGGAAGCGGGCCTGGTTTCCGCTTCCGCCCGGGACTCGCTCTTTTCCGTTCGGTAAGGAGAGGCTGCTGGAGGCGCGTGGAGGGTGGGTGGCCGGGCCGGGCCTTGTGTCGGGGGTGGGACGGACCTGCTTCTTTGTCGGCCCGTTTTACAAAGCGTCCTTGCGCGATTCTCCACCCGGGAACAGCAAGACAACTTGAATACGCGTCTGTCGATTATCAACAGATACTTTTAACTAGGTTAGATGAAGTCGAGCTCGATTTCTGGGGGAGTTCGTGGACGCAACCATGTGGTTTCCCTGGCAACAGTAGGGGTGGCTGACCATTCTGGGAAGCTTTAGCCACTCCCTCTTTCGCCCCCACCCCTCCTGGGGCTTCCTGGTGGTCTCCCTTCCGATTTTGGTTGGGCTCAGCCAGAGTTGGGGCTGCCATTATATGGGTAGTATTTATTATATAAGTACAGAGATGGGGGATGCTTAAACTCTACATAAGGAAGGATTAAAGTAAAGTTATATAAGGAAAAAAGAGGTGTAGTTTTAAGATTATAGACAAATATATATAGATATAATACAGAAGATATAGCAAGAAATAGGATTGTGTAAGTCCATTCTCACAAAATAACATAAAAAAAGAGAATGGGCAATTTGTTAAGCAGGTACTACCGTGTTCTTAATATATTACCATATATGTGGGTGGGTATGTCTACAGTTTTTCAGGCAGTGTTCAAGTTCAAAATAAGGACTTCAAATTACCATAATTCCCCTAGCAGCAGGGGGAGTTAGATTGTGGATGATTAAATCCACACAGATTGCCAAGGTTGAGAAACACTGATCTGGATTATTTTTGTAGATCTAAATATGGATAAAAAGGCACAAATGTAAACATTGTAGAAAAGGAGGAATTACTACATAAATAGAGAAGTGTATGTGGGTTGTGGTGCATACAGTGATGTCAGAATTGGGTTTTATTGCTATCAGATGCTACCGCCTCCTGGGCAGGGGGAGGAAGATTTTTTTATATTAAAAAAGGGCCTTGATTCACTTGTCACTTCTCTACGTTCTCCAGGTAACCAGCTGCCACAATGCAGATTTTTGTGAAAACCCTCACCGGCAAAACCATCACCCTTGAGGTGGAGCCGAGTGACACAATTGAAAATGTGAAGGCAAAAATTCAGGACAAGGAAGGTGAGCATTGGCCCTGAGATTAAATACCAACCTGATGGAACAGCTTGCCTGTTTCCAGGAGACAGATGGATTGCCTGCGCTGGAGACGTTCCAGAGTTGCCATCTGGTGAACTGTGCTGTGGTGGGAGCTAATTGGGCTTCTGTATACATTAAAGATGAAAACAGAGCTTTGCCAACTGAAATGGAGCTTTACTTTTCAGATTCCTGTGACCAAAATGATTATTTATCCCTTGCCATGTGGTTGGGGTTGTTTTTAATCAAACCTTGTCAGGGATACCACTTGTTGGGGAAGACTGGAAAGAGTCATGACTGCTGGGGCTTAAAAAAGATTGACTTCTTGCTTGATTGTACTCTTTCTGATCTGTGTATTCTCTGTTCCAGAAAGAGTTACAGGAACGTTTTTTTTTCTAGACTGTGACTTCTATAATGGATAAAATCTGTAAGAAAGCAAAATGATTTGAAAAGACAGCCAAAACAAATATTTGGGCAAGAGAATGTTCTTTAATTCAGAACTTCCATAGATAAGCTCAGGCCCAGACTATCATCTTCCTGACTTTAAAGTAATGCAGAGAATTTCTCAACAAGGTCTTGGGATAAAGATCTTAAGAAGCAGACCCACTGATTCATATGTGTTTACATCCTTCTGTATACAGTGAGAAGCAAGGTGGACTTTAGAATTGGAGAGAGATAGTTAACAGCCAAGACTTTAGTCTGTAGAGATTCTCAAGTCATTCAGGTCATGCTTGTCCCAAAGATGATTTTTTTCAAGAGGCAACTGGACTTACTTGTTTTTTTTCTTTGAAGACATTTCACTTCTCATCCAAGAAGCTGTTTCAGCTCTGGCAGGATAGTGGAGAATGGAAGGATTTATTTTCCTTGTAGATAGCGGGTCATGTGCATCCTTTTTAGAAGGTCATTGAAGTACTTGGAAGTTTATCTGTGTCCTCAGGGCCATGGCCAGGATTTTGGGTCCTCAAAATTTTGGAGTTCTTCCATCTTTACTATGAGTTCCTTTCAGATTCCTCCTATCTCATTGTGTAAGGATGTGGGAGTGTCACTTTTAAACATACATTTTCAGCATGCTACTAAAGTGCAAATATTCCCTTGAGAAGTACAACATTGTTGAAACTTAGAGACTTCTGCTTGGTCATAAGCAAGCTATGCTTTCTCTTCCATTGCATGCAGAAAAATAATTTTAAACTTGTCTTGCCCAATTGTTAAGGTCCATCCATGGTCTAGTGCAGCTTTACTTGAAAGAAGGAACTATGTGAAACTGGTTGGTTTTGTCTAAATAAATAAAAATATCTCCCATGTCTGCCTTCGATAATTGACTTCCATACAACATCTTTGTTTTGTAGGTATTCCTCCTGATCAGCAGCGTCTGATCTTTGCGGGAAAGCAGCTGGAAGATGGACGCACACTCTCAGACTACAATATCCAGAAAGGTATGGTGCTTACTCCTCCTCCATTTAGAGAAGGTTGTCAATTAGCCTTGGTTTGTTATATGGGGCATCATATCTACCAGAAACACACATACAGATCAGCTGAATTTAAGACAGTTTCAGTGCCTCTTCCCTCTAGAAAGAGCCCCTTGCAGCTGGTAGAAAAGAGGGGGCTTTTATTTTTAATTTAAATATTTTAGGCAATCACAATCTTGATTGTTTCCTAAGGATGAATACAAAAATGAATTTGCTACCATGACAGTTGAAATGAGAGTCTCATTTCTGACTAGGTAGACTCCAAGATACAGTCAGCTATTGAGGTGTGCTGAAATTTCCACCTACTTGATTTAACATTCAAGAATAATGTTGCTTAGGGATGACAGGTTAGATCATGGGCAGGATAAATGGATACTCCCATTGACCTTGCTGTGTTTTCTTCTGAGAATATTTAAATATTCTTGTTTTTCACATGATACTCATTATCGTCAGCATAGGGCTAGGGTGACTGGCAAGACTGAAGGATGACAGAACATCCTGTCTGGCAGGGAGCTTGGCTAGCAACTGCAGTGTTTCTGTTTGTCCAGCTGGCTGTGATTTCACTGTCGATCTCCAAGCTCACTGCCAGAAAAAGATACTTTCTGGCCCTGGATACTTTGCAGAGCTTAATATGGAACATGGAACAATTGAAGGACATTTTGGGTTCCATGTTCCTGGGGTTTCCAGTTTCTCCTTGGCTTCTGGTGTCTGGTTTCTAGAATGGCAGATCCCAAGTCCCATTAATCTTGTTTCTGTCTTTCTCCCTACCGAAGAGTCCACCCTTCACTTGGTTTTGCGTCTTCGTGGAGGAATCATTGAGCCTTCGCTCCGCCAGCTGGCCCAGAAGTATAACTGCGACAAGATGATCTGCCGCAAGTATGTCCCATGGCGTGCGCGGGCGGTTCCAGGAAAATGGTGCAGGCTCTTACGTATAGTCCTCAACTTACCGCCCAATCGTTTTTTCCAGGGGTCATTAAGCAAATCCATTTTACTCAATGGGTGGTTTTTTTGCTGGAAAACATGATCATGTGGATTGGGTTGCTGTGGCGTAATTTCAAAATCAGATATTGAATAGCTTTTTGGGGAGGTTCAACCTGATTTTGGATGGTCGCAAGCCAAGGACTGCTTGCATTTTTACAGCTTAATTACAATAGCTGTGACAAAAAGTGAAAGGCAGTCATTTTTACTGTACTTCGGTTTGGGTTCTGGACAACACCTTCATCAGTAAAATCATTCATTTTTAATCTTTATTACGGTTATAGAGCAAGTCAGTAAAATAATCTTGTTAGGGTCTGCTTTTCCTACCTTTGTATCTTTTGCAAACCCATAACATTATACAATCCAAAGGTGAAAGAGCACTCAACTACCATCAAGAAGGCGCTCTCAGCCTTTCGATGGTCAGCTCCATGACACTCTGAATTCACCCACCCTGGACATTAACATCTGAACCACTATAAGTCCATGTATTTGCCATACGCTAAATAAAATAAATATACAATCCAAGCTTAATTTCTTGCTCCTGATAGTGGGCAGAAGTTGCTCTCTAGAAGATTCTACTAGGGAGTGTGAACAATGAGGCATCTTGTTTATTTCCAGCATTCAATTCTTGGTGGTAGATTGTAAGGGTTGCATCAAGCATTTCAAATTCAAAATGCCCCATTTTATAACTTTTATAGTTGATGGGAGTTATATTGCAACATATAAATCTCCCCTTCCTCCTCCTCACTTCCAGAAATGCTCTGAAGTTGAAATGGTGTTTCAACTTTGAAATAAAGACCCTTAGAGCTTGGGCAGTTCCAGGATTGATATAGTGCTGGAATATTTCCAGTGGGGACCAGATAAGCCATTTCAAACTTAATTCAAAAACAACTACTGGCAGGTTATTTTTGAACACAAACCTTGCATTGTGTAGTGTTTGTATTATCATGCAATAAATAAAGATGGTATGCATTTAGGACAGGCGTGCAGAAACTAAAAAAAAAAAGCATCTTACTGTATTTTCGACTTCATTTTCTCTCAAGTCTGGCCAGATAAGTCAGGGATGAGCAGCTTGGGTCCAGCACCAGTGGGAGGACCACAGTTTACTTAACCTTAGCTTGAAAGGGTGGGTCCCTCTCCCATTGGCTCATCTGTGTCACACCAAGGCAGGAGCAGTTTCTGCAATCACAGTTCGTCCCCAGGTGCAAAACTGGAAGGTCCAGATGCTTTAGGGACTAGATTATTGACCTCACCAAGGATTTTATTTATAGGGATAAAAAGAAGAGAGGTTCTCTTGAGCTCCTGGAGAAAACACACAATGTAAAACTAAAATTAAATACAGGTAATCCTGAACTTATGACGACAATTGGGGCCGGAATTTGTTTTTTTTTTTAAACAAGTTTTATTGATTTTACAAACAAACAAACAAGACAAAACATCATTAAACATTAAAAACATAAAACCTCTTTCCATTGTAGATCCTTACAAGGCAGGTAACATATTGCTTTATATCACATACTTATAATTTATCCCATTTCCATATAAACACGTAAATTCCCTTTACCAAATTCCACATTGTTTCTCTTTAATCATTATTCAATCATATTTCCTTTCTGATTTATCTGCTATCCAGTCATCAACTTTATATTTCCCTCTGGCTTGTTTATAATTATTCTCATCTAGTCTTCTTCCGAGATTTTATTATTTAATTCTTAATTAAACACACACACACAAAACACAGACATAAAAAACATAAAGCTTTCTTCTAGAAAGTAACGGCCCCAGATTACCTCTTTTTGTATGGACTCAGTTGTATTCACACTTTTCTTATATACCATTACCCATCTTATTTACCATTCTATATCTATTATATAACTCCTCTCCACTTTTGCCTCATCTTAATTCTGTTTTATATATTTAATCTTGCTTTTTTTTAAAAAAATATTTTTATATCTTTTGTCCATTTCTCCATTTACATCTGTCTCATTTCCAATTTAAGAAAGAATAGTTTCCCCTGGAATCACTAATCGGAGTATGATGCCTTTCTATCATTCCCCTAAGTTAAAATTTAAAATAACACCTAAATCCCAATCAGATTCTGCTTAGTACATTCTACTATTTCAAAAACCAATACTACAATAATAAATCCATAACAATCAACACATTAATCCATTAAACTCTATATTCAAACTAATATTTTAAACATTCCCTTTAGTATTTTATTAAAACTTATTATCCTTCATTATTAAACCTTTTAAGGTTATACCTTGATATTTTAGCCTTTTATTAGATCTTAAAAAGTTCTGGTTATCTACTTATAATACAAATACCACTATTACAATACTCATGTGTACTTTGCAGAATCCCCCCCTTTTTTTAAAAAAAAAACCCATATATTACCCATTATCCCTGAAAAAAATTTCCTTATCTCCATCTTGTCTTATATCTTTGTAACTTTTTTCCCCCTTTTCCCTTTCCTTCTTAGCCCGCCTAAACTTTTTACCCCCTCCTCTCAAAACCTCTGTCTTCTTAATTTCCCCTTTCTGCATTCCTCTTTCCTTTTGCTTTCTAGCATTCTGTTGTTTTTGCATCTTCTTTTTCTCTTTCATAAATATTTTTTTATTTCTTAAGTCCTTCCTTTTCGCTCCTCTCTTTCTCCTTTCTTTCTTAGTCACACTGTTTAGTTCATTAAAAATGGCTTCTTCTTCCTCGATTTCTTCCAGCTGTTGTTTAATTTGCTGACACATAGCAAGCGCCATATCTAGGAAACAAAGGGCTTCTCCCATAACATCTTTGCCTTCTTTCTTTGTTTTTAGATAGTTTTTTTAGTTCATCAAGAGATAGAGCCATTTTAAAGTTTCTTCTTCTCTTTCTGTATCCTCTTCTTAAACCAATCAGTTATTTCAAGGCTTAAAACAGTTCCCAAAAGTCCCAAAGTCCCACAGTCATCAAACAGTCCAGGCAGAGTAGAAGCTTCTTCTTTTTACAGTTTCTCTTCTAGGGGTGAAGTCAAATTAGGGAAAGAAAATTCTCTTTATCTTCAAGGCATCTCCTCCAGCAAAGTCTTAGAGTAAAAATTTGTTTTCCCAAGCCTCTCCCTTCCCACTTATAACAAAGGAGTTTAGGTTTTACCTTCTACCAAAAGGCTGGTTTCCCTTGTCCATTTGTTAATTCCATAGGGGAGGGAGAGTAACTTCCCCTTTTCGTCACTTTTCTTCGCAGCTGAAAACATCAATCGGGGACATTATAGCTTCCAAGTCATTACTTTCCCAGGTGTTAAATATATCCTTAAGGTCCCAGTTCGACCAAGAAAAAACTTTCTTTAAAAAAAAAAGAAAACTCCTTCTCCCTCCTGCGCATTCTTTATCCAATTGCCGGCTTCTTTATGGTGGCCATAAAAAGACCACCGCTGGAACCGTCTTGAGAAAAGGGGGTTATTGCCGGCTGGGGGGGGAGGTTGCGATGCCCCTCACCCCCATCCGGATCCCCCCTCTCTTCAGCTGCCCCAACAGGGCAGCCTTAGCCTCCAAATCCGTCAGAATCGGAGGCACCAAGGCGGCTAGCACAGCAGGAATCGCAGAGAAGGCGAATCCCTGCTTTCAGCAAAGCCGACAACCGGAAGTCGGGGCCGGAATTTCTATTGCTGAAGTGAATTGCTTCTGATTTTATGATCTTTTTTGCGATGTCTGTTAAGTGAATCACTACAGCTGTTAAGTGAATGATGCAGTCATTAAGCAAATCCAGCTTCCTGCATGGACTTTCCTCGTTGGAAGCTGGTTGGGAAGGTCTCAAATGCCAATCACATGACTCTGGGATGCTGCAATTGTTGTAAATACATACTGGTTGTCAAGCATCCAAATTTGATCACACAACTGGGGATTCTCCAATGGTAATAAGCGTGAAGACCAGTTGTAAGTCACTTTTTTTTCAGTGCCGTTGTAACTTTGAATAGTCCCTGTGCCAGGGACACCAGTAACAAGACTTCCTCTCGGGGTTGTTTCCCCCCCTCCTCTCCTTCTAGATGCTATGCCCGCCTGCATCCCCGTGCTGTGAATTGTCGTAAGAAGAAATGTGGCCACACCAACAACCTGCGCCCAAAGAAGAAGGTCAAGTAAAAAGAGCATGACGGGAACCGCCACCATCCCTTCTCCTGGTACCAGGCTGTGGTGTACCTTAGGCAACTCGATTCATCTTCCCTCCTCTCGCGGGAGGCCATTTTCCCCCTGCCAGTTGGAATAAACATTCAGTGCACCAAATTTGTCTCTCCCTCTTCATTTTATTGCCTGAACCGCAGCTATAGGTTATCTGCAAGGCCTCCAGGTGGTAAAAGAAATAAAGGGAGTGCTTTAGTTATTGTCATGCCCCTGTTGGAGGCTGACTCTGAGGGAGAGGAGGAACAGCTGACAGGGAGTGCAGGTGTGGCTCTGGAGGCTGGGGAAGGGTAGAGGCCGGCTGGGCAGTCAGAGGAAGACCCAGGCCCATCCCCTCTCCATGCTAGGGCACACAGGGGGAGAGGATAAGGGAGAGACCATGGTGTGGTCTATGGGGGAAAAAGGCCCATAGGAAAGGGCCTTGATCCTCTTTATGGGCTACAGCTGTGAGAACTGGTTAAAAGGACAGACGTGTGTGGGCCAGTGCTGGAAACAAAGTGTGGAAATACGTCGTTCCTCTCTGAATTTGGCATCCTTCCCAGTGTGTGTTCCGATATCTATGGACGTTTTCAAGCCCTTATCTGGCCTGGTTTCCTTAATTGCTTCAGTATAGTTTGTTGTTTTTACTCTATAATTTATAGGCATTTTTAGTTTAAACGGCATTTCCTCCTTTTCGTAACTGCTTGTGGGGGAGTTTTTTGTCTCCTGTCAAGGATATTTGGAGGTTGGAAGCAAAGTGAAGGAATAAAAGGGGCTTCACCTATTTTTGTGACTGTGTTTATTTTGTATCCCACCCTGGGTCATCACACTTATGACCAGTTACTTAGCAACTGTTTTAAGTTACAACAGACCTCCCCAGATCTATTTCTGATCCAGACTCAGAGTTATAATGGCTCTCCTTCACAGCCTTCCCCCCTTCTGGTCACAAGATCACATTTTTGGGCAGTTGGCAATTAGCCCTCTTACGGTTATTTGTGTCATTTGGTAGTCACATGACTGCAATTTACCACATTATTTCCAGCGCACTGATGATGTTACCAAGTTGGGTAATGAAACGTCTGCAAGAAAACCACCAGACAGCACTAAGAACCCCACAGAAACTGATATTCAAGGGGGGGGGGGGTAAGGAGGATGGGGGGGCTTGGTGGGGGGGGGGGGGGGCCGGGGGGGGGGGGCTGGTACAGGTTGCAGGTGAGAGTCTCTTCGCTCAAAGGCTGAAAATCTTCAGATTTTG